AAAAAAAAAAAAAAAAAAAAGATAAATGGGTGGGTAGATGGATGAATGGATGGATGGATGGGTGGGTAAGTGGGTAGATGAATGGGTGGATGGGTAGATGAATGGGTGGATAAGATAAATGGATGGGTTAAGTAAAATTCTGTATGAGTTGTCAAAAATAAATAAAGATAAATGGGTGGGTGGATGGATGGACAGATGAATGGATAGGTGGGTGGATGGATGGGTGGGTGAACAGAGGGTGGACATTCACCCTCACCCTCCTGTTCATCCTTGTGGGTCTTACCTCTCGGCCTTGGGTTGGGGAGCTCCCTCCTCAGTCCCACTTTCCTGGGATGCGCTGCGGCTGGTGTCAGGGTGGGTGTCCCCATCCCGCATGCACTCTGGGTTGCTGCACTTCTTCTCAGCCTCACTGTCAGACAGGTCCTCAGGGGAGCTGTCCTCACCACTGGTCTCCTCGCTGGAGGTGGTCTCGTAGCTACAGAAGGGGACAAGGTCACGGTCTGTCCTTCCTGCCCATGTCAGCACCGTCAAGCACAGTGGGCCTTGGTGAACACCACTCCCCCGTACCCCACACCCTCCACGTCTACACCTGCAAGATCACAGGTGAGACCCAGTGGTCAGTGCTCTGGCTCTCACGCCAAGGCCAGCCGTCAGGCAGGGTGACAGATGGACTGTGCTCCCGCGTACTCTCACAGGCCAAGGTCTGTGAGCAGCCTGCTTCTGGAATCCCCCACGAGTTCCCCGAAAAGCCTGAAATCCTTGCATCCCATGGAAGGGAGACCTTTTGTACCCAGATAGCAGTGGGGGAACTTGGGACTCTAGTGATCCTCCCAATGTGGCACCTGCCCTGTCAGAGGAGCAGAAGTGAAGGCTGGGCCACCTTGTGTCGGGCACCTTCCTTGCCAGGGTCCCCAGGCTCAGCTAAGACCCTACTGCAAAGTCATGTGAGGTTTATGGAGATTCACTGACCCCAACAGAGGATGCTGTTGTGCGGGCACTGAACACAGCCACAGGGACAGTGGCCATGGCTTTTGAGGCCCCTGAAGTGCTGTCTCTAAATGGTGGCCCTGCCCAGGGCTCTGGGCCCAGGTTAGCCAGCCCAGCCCGCCTCCTGCTGTGCTCTGAGACTATCCGCTCTCTTGCACTTGGAACAGCCTGATTCTTCTGTGACTGACAGGCGAGGACACATGACATTTGCCATAGTGCTCCATTCAGCATGGCTTTGGGGAAAGTCCCCCTGGAAGTTCTCATGCTTGTTCAGCAACTGGGTCGTGTTCTGACACCGTCCCAAAACCCCACCTCAAGGAGAGGCAGAAAACAAACCCAGAGACAGGGCTTCGCCCAACACTGACTGGGTTGGTGGGCATAACAGAGGACCCTGGCAGAGCAAACAGAGGGGGCCACAGGTGAGAAGCACAGCTCAAGCCTCCTGAGTGAGCTCTGCACTCACACCTGGTGCTCAGGGATGGGGCTATGCTGTCCCAGAGCCTGCGCTGTCCCTGTGGCCAAGCGCCCTGCACAGTACATTCTGCTTGCCAAGCCTTGAAGGCCAGCGCCAGGGCCCTAACGCGTCCTGAGCGGGCAGCTGCAGGAGCCACGACCGAGTCCTCCAGGCCGGGCACAGAAGTCACGGGGCCTCACCAGACACTGAGGAGGGGCTGGCTCTCCCTGCACATGGCACCTCACAGGCTGCGGGGCCACCTGGCAGGGAGAGCTGGCACCTGCCTGTGACCCCCGCTGTGTCGTTTCTGCCGCCCCTCACAGAACCTCTCATCGTGATGCCGGTGGTTTGCCTTTAATGATGTCCCTCAGAGTGTGACTTAGCCAGCGGGGCTCCACGTCCACCGTGAAGCCCCACACAGGCCTCCCGGTCATTAGGAAGTGCCCTGCATGTTGTCCCCTCCTCTTCATGTCCTGACTGGCCCAAGATAGAAGGCTGGCACCCTGTCTTGCTTTGTTCCCACACCTGGCACATGGCTGGCATTTCATAATCATTGATTGACTGATTTAGAAAGTACAGTCACAGGCTGCCTAGCAGCGTATCCGCCAGCCACGGCGCACACAGCCTGTGGCCCGTGATCCTGCCCAAGCATCCGGCTTCACAGAGAGGGCTCCCCAGGAACGTGCGGTGCCTGCACCCAAAATCCAGCACCCAGTACTCCAGCTTCTCTTCACATCACATCAATCTTTGTCCTTTTTTTTTTTTTTGTGGTACCCAGGACTGAACTTGGGACCAAGGCACTTACCAGGCAGGCACTTACGCCACTGAGCAATATCCCAGCCCATCCTTCTCCATGTTTAAACCCAGCACCCACACCTTGGCCACAGAAGGTGCGGCTGACGGGCCACACCAAAAGATCGTGTGTTCTTCATTCCCAAGTCTGGGCTGGGCTGGCAGCAAGTTAAAGGGACAAACAATTCAATGGATAAAAGGTAAAACCCAGCGAACCACCAGAGCCTGCGCTAGTTTCAGTGCTATGGTTTGGGCCTCCCTGAAAGGGGCCGTGGCCCCCCAACTCCCCAGGCCCCCAGAGTCCTGGCTGCAGGGAACATGGAGGCCAAGATGTACTGAAAGCAGAGGCTCTTGCGACCAGCACCGCGAGCTCTGGGCCTAACGTGTGCACAGTGGCTGCACATCCCAGGACCACAGAGGTGACATCTGCCCTGGAGAACGGAAACCAGGTGCTCCCTGGGGACAAGTGACTGTGAGGACAAGGCGGGGGAGGGAAGGCGTGCGGGCGCCACAGGCGATGCTTACCCACCGTTAACCCCAACAAACTGAAGGTTCTTTTTGGTCCCATTACCTCCTGCGCGGAAGCCATGGTCTTTCTTTTTCATTATGGATTTAAGGCTGGTCGATGGGGAGAGCTCTAGGCAGACAACAGGTTAGTGTGACTCGGGACAGCAAAACCAAACAGTAGCTTTGAGGGGACAGAGGCTGCAAGGGTGTGAAGAGGGACAGGGACAGCCCAGACCGTGAGCATTAAGTGTTTGGGGGCTTTGGGGTGCCCCGCTGTCTGGTCATTGTGGGCAGAACCATGCTCACTAGTGATGTCACTTCCTGTGGGGGGCACATGGCTTCGGGAGCCCCTCTGAAGCCATGTGATGTGGGTGCTGTTGTGTTTTGCGTTTAGATGTCCCCCAAAGCCACATGTGGTCACAGTGGGCTTTTCAGAGGTGGCTGGACCTAATGTGTGATGCTGTGATCGGCTCCGTTTGATGCTAGGATCAAGGTGTGATAAGTACAAAATGCAAGGGACAGAAAAGGCTGCTGCGGTCACTGCTTGTGGCTTGTCACTTGCTGCTTGCTTTGCTCTGCCCTGCCCTGACTGTTCCTCTGTGGGGCCCCTCTACTATGTGCCACCCTGCCTTACAGCCATCTAACTATGAACTAAAACTTCTGCGAATTGTGAGGTACATAAATCTTTCTCCTTTGATTTGTGGGTGTTGGGTATTTTGTCTCAGCAACAAGAAAAGGCAGGTGTCATGGTCATCTGTCTGACAGCTGAGAAACCTGAGGCCCAGACTAGCTCAGGGCAGGAGCAGAACCAGAGCCTTGGAGGGAGCAGGGTCCAGCACCTTTTGCTGCCCGAGACAGCACCCATGAAGTGGGAGTAGTGAGGACCCTGGGCTTCCAGCAGCACAATCACAGGGCATGGATCTTCCATGCTGTGCAAGGTCCAGCTCCACAAGGAGCTTGGTCTGCTAGGACCCGGGTAGGGACCAGACTCCAGGTAGCTTGGTTGGTGGCCTATCAGGGGAGGAGGGTCTCTCTCTGCCTCTGTTTTGTCTCTTTCTCTCTGAAACAACTCTAGATCTCAAGGCAATGTTCCTTCAAGCCCAGGCCACAGAAAGCCTTTGATGTGGGCAAGCAGGAAGCCAGGGCCAGCGAAGGAGGAAGGGGGTGAGGGGTGCGTGGGCAAGGCTTCCTCCTAGTCCTCATCCGCCAAGATGCTAGGTTTTTCATGATGGAGGGGGGGCCCACCCCTGCACCCTCCCAGTGCCCAGACTGCAGCTCACGGAGAAGCATGGCCGGGCTTCATTCTGCTGGCCTCCCCAACTCCAAGCCGGGGCAGAGTGGAGGCCCTGGGCACCCAGGGTCATGCAGCCCAGGTTCCCCACAGCTTGAAAGGCAAGCTCGAAGCCCTCATGCAAGCATGTGCACACACAGGGAGCCCCTCCTGAGGCCTCACAGGGGGCTCACCAGGGCTGGGTGGGCAGGGGGCGGGCTGGGAGGGAGCCGGGCACCCTGCCGCCTCCTGCTGGGGGCCCTGGGCCGCACAGGCCCACAGCAGCAGGCTGAGTGAGCTGAGCAGCTGGCCTCGGATGCTGCTGAGCCTGGAGGCTGGCTGCCGCAGGGCGCTGGCCAGCTCGGGGTAGCCGTGCTCCAGGCAGCTCCACTGCTCCTGCAGCAGCTCCTGGATCTTCCTCACGTACTGTCCCAGTGCAGCATCAGGCGGGGACCCAGGCAGGGTCCCCGGGTGCTGGGAGTCGGCCTCCTCCCCAGTCACCGAGGCAGTCTCTGTGTCACTGCCTGTGGTGCCCTCCACAGACAGGCCTTCATCCAGCTCCTGCGCCAAGCTGGCTGGCTCCTCAATCCTGAGCTCTGTGGAAGGACAGCCATGCACAGGGGAGGTGGGGACAGTCCCAGGTCCCTGTGGCAGGGGCAGCTGGGCCGGGCGCCGGTCCCCTGACTGGGCGTTGTCTGTCATGAAGGGGGGGCTCCCCTCATCCCCCAGGGCTCCCCAGCTTCTAGAGTCCATGGGGCTCAGAAGGGTCATGCCGACGCCCTTGTCACAGGTCTCCACGGAGCGCAGGCTGCATGGAGGGTCAGTGCTCACTGTAGCATCCACACGGCCCCAGGAATCCCAGGTGTCCTTGCTGCTCTTCTCCAACTGGGCCACCAGGCACTCCAGCTCACAAATCCTCTGCTCCTTGGCCTCCAGGGCTGCCCGGACCCCAGCCAGCTCCTCGGCACAGCTGGCTAGCTCCTCGGCACGGCAGGCCAGCTCACCCTGCAGGGCCCAGAGCTGCTGACCCAGGCCACCATCCAAGCCCAGGGCTTCCTCCGTGACCTGCACACTGACACTCTGCACAGCCAGCTCCAGGGGTGGTGGTGGAGGGGGGAGCTCATTGATGCTCAGCTCAATGTCCAGGGCCAGCTCGCTCCCAGAGACTGGTGACAGCAGAGGTGGGGGGCTGGGGGTGGAGGAGCCGGGCGTGGGTGTAGGCTGTGCACTTGGGGTCTGGCCTTCATCCCTCATGTCCTCCTGGACCACAGGCGCACTCTGGAAGGAGGGAGAGGGACGATCCGGAGTCTGTGCCTCTCCAGCTGGTGGAGTGGCCTCTTCAGGGACACCCAGCACCTGGTCCCCAGGCTCCTTGGCGGTCTCAGCAGCTAGTTCTGCTGGCCTGGCGCAAGGGAGATCTGCAGCCCCCTCTGCAGGCCTGAAGGTGCCATCGCAGGAACTGCCTGTGTCCTGGAGTGGAGAAGGTGCTGGGGGAGCAGAGGGCCCCTCTGAGGCCCTGCCAGGTGGCAGTGTGGCTGGCATGCTGGATGCTCGCAGGAGCTGGGGCCGGGAACTGGCACAGCTGGGCACTGCATCCTCTCCCTGCCCTGTGGCCTCAGCCAGCAGGGCCTTCCTGGGGTGGCTCAGCTCGCTGCCCCCAGCCCAGGTGCTGCCCTGCAGCACTAGACACTGGCTTTGCTCCTGAGGCCCCAGGGACCCCTTCCTGGGCACTGCTGGGGACCAGTGCTGCAGCAGTGGGGTGGCCAGGGCACGCTCACCCCCGCTGGGGAGGCTGAAGTTCCGAGGCAAAGTGCTAAATTTGGCCTGCTTGGCCCTTCTGTGGATCGGAATTCTCCTGATGGTGTGGCCCTTCTCGATGTCGTCCACATACTTGAGGAAATCAAGGTCCAAGCGGAAGCCATATGGCGTTTCCACTGAGTACGGGTGGCTCTTGGGGGAGCCCTTCTCCTTGTCCCCCTGTGAGGCCGGGTCCTGGGCTGGGTGACAGAAAACATGGTGAAGAAATCTGACTAGGAAAGTTAAATACCACGCTGCTTTTCCTGCATCAGAAAGCCCACCCATGAGTAATTTACAGTGTGGAGTCCGGGAGAGATGGCAGGAAAGGAAGGTGGGGCTGTGGAAAGGGACAGGTGTGGAGCCGGGGAGCACAGAGGGGAGGCGGGAAGTGCACCACCGCTCACTGCACACTCGTGGAGCACTTTTCAAGGAGAAGCAGGGAACAGAGGGATCTACAGACGAAGGAGGCTGCGGAGCAGAAGTCCCCACTTAGCAAGGTCGCAAGAGCCTCCGAAGGGTCCTGGACACTGAGTTCTGAGGAAGCCGCGGCATCTCCTAGTGATGCCCAGCGGCATCACCAAATCAGTACACATTCACCCAGGGACAGCAAGGAACGGGGCCCGGGCGGGGAGCAGCTGCCGTTGTGGCAGACTGGCGTGGAATTTGCACGCACGGCACCTAGACAGACGTCTCTCGCACCATCTTGCTGGGTTTGGGTCACACAGCTGCTGGGCCACCACGACCAGGCACAGGCTGGGTCAGTGCCAAGTGGCAGTGATGGCACTGCCGCAGGATGAGGCAACGATGCCCGCAGCGTCACCTAAATGGCCCAGAGGACTCAGTGAGCTATGCCTCTTCTGTTACCTAAGCTCCCTCTGATGCTGAGCAGAGAACAGGGGCAGAGGCCCCAAAACTGCTTAGCAAGCAAATGCCTTCTCCAGAGGCCCTGGCAAGGAGAAAAGGTGTGAGGGTGACAGGCCAGCGGCCTCAAAGGGGACAGGGAAGGTATCCTCCAAGGCACGTGTGCCCAGTACCCTCAGAGAAGCCTGGCCATGGAGTGTAGGGATAGAATCCTCTGCCTGGCTCCAGCAGCGTCACCTCCTGGGCCACAGGAGGTGTTCAGAGCTCTCGGGGGCTTGTGTCCAAGCCCTTCTCCCTCTGTGACAGTCTCGTCCCTTTTGTGTCCCTCTTGGGCTGTCCTTATTACCCCTGCAGTGCTCTGCTATACACATTCCAAGAAAGTTGAGCCCAGGAGAGGTTCGGCACCCGGACTATGGAGCCGGGTCAGTGTCCCTGCTTGAGGAAATGACCTCAATTCTGGCAGTTCCCGTCCTAAATGTGAGGACAGTAACAGGCATGCTCATTGTGACTTAATTAGTTGATAGCACACACTGGTCCCTAGGACATCATGGGCAGGAGCAACAGTGGTCATGCAATACACAGTCACTACTACAGTTAGTGTTTGTGGAGCCGAAATGTACAGAATGGGGGCCCCACCCTGGAGATCGTAGGACTCTGCTGACCCTGCAGGGGGCCTTTGTGGCCGTGGATCCCTCTATTCTGAGCAGCAGTAGCTCAGGTCTCCACTCCACCCCAGTCTCTCCACCCTGAGCACCTGTGTTGGGTGCATAGCAAGATCCCAAGGAAGCAGAGATGAGACAGGGATGGTTTCCAGCCAGGCCGCAACAAGGCCAGCAGCAGTGTGCAGAGAGAGGGACCAGGGAGGTGACAGACATGTGTGCAGGTGTCCTCTGTCCCAGTCTCTCTGTCCAGATGCTCTGGAAGTGCTTTCCTGGCCAGAGGCTGAGCTTGCCTCCACAGGGGAGGGATGAAGTCACACAAGTGACAGACAATGGGCATTGAGCTTTTTTTTTTTTTTGCTGAACTGGGGATTGAACTCAGGCCCTTGCGCTTGCCAGGGAAGCGCTCACTCCACTGAACCATCTCCCTGGCGGATGGGCATTAAGTGAGTAAACAGGAATCTGCCAGGACAGCGAGAGGCAAAGGCCAGGCAGCAGTCCGTCCCTGCGAGAGCACCACGTCCCCTCTCTGGAAGCATGCAAGGGATCACAACAGTGATGGTGCTAACAGAATCACAAGCCAGGGCCTGAGGACCTGCGGCCTTGCCCAGTGGTCAGGAGACCCTGCTGTCACATGAGAAGTCTAGCTCCCGTGGCTGCCGTGCCTCAGGGCGGCCCCCTGAGGCTGGACAAGCGGGAGAGCCCCAGGCCGGCCCACAAGTGCGGCTTGGCAGGGCCTTTGCTGATGGTGGACTCCTGTGGAGACCCCTGAGCTGCTCGAGGTGGTGGCGAAGCAGCAGGGGCAGGGCAGAGGCACTGGAGAGCATCGGGGTGTGCAAGGGGGTGCAGCATGAAGGACACTGCGTCCCATGTCCCGAGGCAGGGCCAGGGCTGAAGGCACCAAGGGACACGAAATGGAAAGGGCAGCCACTCAGTGTGCAGCAAGTGTGACCACAAGTCATGGAGCCACTGTGGGCCTTCCCCAGGGAGCGGTGTGGCCAGGGGCATCTCAAGAGGAGGGACCCACAGAGGACCAGAGAGGAACCTGAACCCGCGGGCCACTGACATGGCCACGGTGAGAGACGTGGTCGATGTGGAAGGACAGGGAAGGCCACACGCCACGATGGCTTTTCCAAGCCAGGGACCATAGGCGGGCAGAGCTGTCCACCTTCCTAGTGATGCCGCCATCTGTGCCCCCCCACCCCCGTGCTCATGGACCTGCATGTCTCTCCAGAGGACACAGAGCCAGCCGGGCACCTAGGCTGCCAAGCACCCCAGGAGGCTTCAAGGCCCCAGGCTTCCAGCTGCTCTGGCATGGAGAGGAGGGCATGCTGCCCAGCATCCTGCCCAGTGAGTCCCTCCCACAGTTCCCCCCCTCAACCCCGTGCACAGCAAGCATCCACGGGGCAGCGACAGATGCACCCAGCTCCGGGGCTCCAGACTGCCCTCCCTACATGCCCAGCCACAGGGCCCGAGGAGCTACCCATGTCAGCAGGCACAGCTGAGCAGGGAACAGGTTCTCCTCAGGGCGACCACATGGCCCTCTGCCCCTGGCTTCCGGCAGTAGTAATGCCCATGACCCAAATATGGGAGCAGGTACGGCCCTGACTCCAGGGCTGGGGAGGTCAAGGCGGGCAGCCTTTGGGGAGCAGCACATGTGCCACACACACACACACACACACACACACACACACACACACGCTCACACACACTCTGAGCTGGGCCCTGCGCTTGCTCCCCGTCTGCCGTGCAGCCTTTTCTTCCCTGCGAGGACACGAGATCTTGATCAGGAACTTGGGGACACCCATCCCACCACACACTAGAGCTCAGGACTCGGCCCCTGGCCGGGCGAGGAGTCATCAGGAGAACCCTCTCGGCACAGAACGAGGCTCTGATCAGACTGATGGACGCACAGCCCAGCGCCCGGCAAGGCCCAAGTCCTGCGGCCCCTACCTGTGCCCCGGGGCACAGTGATGAACCATGTGCCTCAGTCTCCCCAGTGTAAATGGAGCCAGCAGCAGCTGCTGTGGCTGTGGGGATCCTGAGGGAGGGCCAGGTAGGTGGTATCCCAGAAACCATCTGTCTGGACTGTGTCACCCCTGAGGACTCCGCCCAGGGGGACTGGGCTCCAGGGTAACCCGAGAAATGGAGATGAGGCAGGGAGAAGCCAGTCAGCGGCCCCAGCGCGCTGCCCGCCAGTCCTGCGTCCTGCCAGGAGCAAAGCCACTGGGGAGAAGAGGGTGGACAGCAGCCCCCGCCTGAGGCAGAGGGCGGCTGGAGGGTGAGCACACCATCAGAGACACTAAAGCAGATAAGAAAGTTCAGGGTCTGCACCACGTCCCTGACAGAACACAGGTAGAGGGACAGAGTGGCCCAAGAGCCAGAAAAAACAGGAGAGGCCAGGGCGTCAGGGGACAGGCCAGTGTAGGCCTGGGTCCAGCAGCTCTTGGGGAAGGACTGGGCCAGGCTGAGGGCTGGTCCCCTGGTGTGTACTGGACAGGCCCATCCCCATGAGGTGACGGCAGCTGCCAGGCTCCTGACACTTCCTCAGGAGCCAGCAGGTCCAGGCCTGTACCATGGCCTTCAGCACGTGTCCCTGGAGCACTCAAGCACGTCCCATGTGACCCCAGCAGCTGCTCCACCACAGGAGTCAGTCGGTGCCGGGGACAAGGGGTGCCGGACGCAGGCCGTGTGATGGTTGCAGGGCGCCCCCCATGTGTTGGACACATGTCTTAGGGGACACGAGGGAACATTCAAACCACACAGCCTACCAGAAGCCGGCCAGGACCCAGGTGCGACCACAGAACCTGAACCAGCACTGACCTGTCACAGGGGCGAGCCCCACAAGTGTCACTGGGGAGGTGAGCAGGACCCTGTCACTGCCCAGTGCCCTGCAGCCCCAGGGTCTATTTCCACCCCATCTGTCCAGATTCATTCAGGACCCCTGGTATGCACCCTGTCCCACTGCAGGGGGACCATTCAGCTGCTCCCATCCCTGCAGCCCTTCCCCTTCCCACTGTGCAGGAAACTGCTGCCTACCCTCAGTCTTATCCATTCTGGGGAGGAAACCTGGTCTCATAGGAGCTCTTCAATGCCGTGTCTGCCGGATTCCTGGAGAATCTGAAGAGGAGAGTGAAGAAGCAGGTCCTGTTAGAGGTTTTTTGGGGGTTTTTGGTTTTTTTTCTTTGTATTTTAGGGAAGGGTCTACAGGGTGTTCAGGGTCTCACTACTAGATCGGACTCATAGTGATCCGCCTGTTTACAGCCTCCCAATCGCTAAGATTACAGGCGTGCGCCACCATGCCCAGTCTCATTTGCTATCTCAGCATGCCCTGGGGGTGGGGCTGGCGCAGCAGGCCCAGAGATTGAACCTCAGTCCCTGTGCCTGCTTGCAGGCACTTTAATCCGCTATTTGTCTGGCCCTCTGTTAGAGACTTGGTTTTGGAGATTTTGTTTGTTTTTGGAGACAAGGTCTCACTGCAGTTCAGGCTGTCCCCTCATTCCTGGGGATCCTGCTGCCTCAGCCTCCTGAGTGCTGCAATCACAGGCTTGCGCCACCACACCTGGCCCATTAGAGAGAAAGTAGTTAAAGTAGAGGAAATAGCACCCAGGAAAGTCAGCCCATGCCAGCTCCCAGCCCACTAGGAAGGAGAGGAAGCTGGCACTGCCCAGCGTGCTGGCCCTGAATGACTTCACAGGATGTTGGCAACAGTTGACTCCACGGAGGGCAGAGGCAGAGGCGAGGCCACAGGGAGGGGCAGCTCTTTCCACGGTGGAGCTAGGACCAGGCCTGGCTCTGCAGCTGCACCAAGCTCCTCTCGGACAGCAGAGTGGCCTCCTGCTCCAACCTGGTGGCAGATTACAGTCCAGCTGCTAGGGAGCCACAACTGAGCAGCCACAGATGGCCTCTGACGTCCTCAACTGACACAGGGTGAACAGAGACCCCAAGCGCAGGCAAGGAGCTGGCGTTCTTCCTACTGAGGCTGCAGAGGCAGGGGGTGGGGAGGGGTCAACAGGTGCCAGGGTGCCCATGACCCTGACAGTGTATATCACAGTGCTGTTATGTCAGACCCTGACTGCTGCGGGGGTCCCTGTCCACTCCCAGGTCTCTGTCCCTGTGGTGAGCAACCCAGCCCCGGTGTGGTGTGAGTCCCAAGGACAGTTACTGTATTGGGGGAGGGGGCTTGGAACTCCTGTGTATGAAGGGACAGCAGGCAACAGGAAAGGACTGTCACTGCCTGGCTCCTCTCTGCAGCCCCACCCTTCCAGTAGGTGCCCAGAGATCACCCAGGGCTCTTCAGAGTGGGCTCGGGGGAGGAAGAAGTCACTGCTGTGACACGCATGACTCTGACAGAACCGACCTCGCTTTGCACTGCTGCACAGTGCCTGGGGGTGGCCTGCAGCCCTTGGGTCACAGCTGAGACACAGGCAGGCTATCCTGACTCCTCAGGGCAGTGCCGACACCCGGCATCCTGCATACCTGTGGCTGTGCTTGCACTCCCTGCCTGGCCCATGCTGCACGAGGACCCACGGCCCAGCCTCCTCACACTCAGAACACTCCAGGGCTTTGAGCAGGTGCAGCCCCTGCTCCCCTGGTTCACCTTGCATATGAATCTGTGTACTCCGGAAGGTCAGACTGCCTGCAAGTTCATCCCTGTCCAACTCCCCACACTAAAAATGCAGCAGCGCTCAGTGCAATGAACCAGTCCATGCTCGGAGGGGTCTCGCGGGAATGCTAACCGGTGCTAAGGCCAACTTGGAGCCTGCACCGATGAGACGCCTCCCTTCACCCTCACACAGCTGTCTCAGAAACCAGGTCTGAGTTCAAATGAGAAAACGAAGACACAGAGATGCTCTGTCCCAGCAGCTGCGTTTGTAGTGGGGCTGGCGGGCTTCATCGCCTAGGGCTGCTCAGGGCGTCCAATCCTACAGGGATTGGAGGAGGAGGATGCTGCGGGGGCCATGCCAGGCAGTGGTAACGTCCAGGTGGGACCACCCAGCTGCAGCCAGCCAGGGCTAGAAGGGCCACATGCCGCACCTGGGCCGGCAATGCCCCTGGTGAGCCCTGTCCCAACATTTTCCCGTGCCCTCCCACTGGCCCCCTCTATTTCCCCATTTTCGACCTCATTTCCAACCTCAAGTCCAAATATAGAGACCTCCTTTCCTTCGTCCTGAACCGGAAACCTGGCTCTGCAGTTTTGTTCTCTCCAAGCCTCTCTATTCTACAATAATCAAAATGCTTATTTCACCCCAGAGTAGGCTGCACGCCAAAATAAACAGCACCTTGGATTTCCTTGAAAAGAGAGCTGGCTCCAGGCACAGCCTCGTTACCAAGAGAATTCCTGGAGAATTCAACCTCACAAAGTCATAGCTTCACAAGGTAGCTGCCCACCGCGCTCTCGGCTTGATGGTTTGCAAAGATGAAGCACTCTTCCTACGGACAGAGGAACCCGTACCCACCTGGACAGAGGGACGCTGCCGAGAGTAGCGGAGCTGCCAGTGCCCGGCCAGGCCCGGGCGCCTCCTGCGCGGAGATGCGGGAGGCGCGGGCAGCGCGGTGCTCAGGCGGCCGGCCGAGCTTGGCGCGCCGCTAGCAAGATCCTGGGGCTCCGCAGCCTCTCTTCCCGCTGGCCCGGGCGCAGATAACTCCGCTCACTAACTCCGGCTCACTTTCCGGAGGGCCAGGGTCGCCCTCCCGCCCGCACTGCAGCAGCCAGCCGCATCTGGAGCGCAGCGCGAGCGGCGGCGGGAGGCGGCGCACCACCGCGAGGGCAGGGCGGCCCCGCCCACAGAGCGGGCTCGGGGCTGAAGCCCAGCGCGGCGCCTGCTGCCCGGCGGCGGCGGCGAGAGGACTCGGTCAGGTGATCCGTGACCTTGTGGAAAAGCAGACGCGGGCTTCCTTCTTGCGGGAGGCCAGGTGGGCAGGGTCAGGAAGGAATCGCTGCTCAGTCGCTGGGTTGGGTCCTGCGGAGAGGGGGAGCGCACGCATCACACCGCATCCTGGCTGGAAAGTTTCTTCCCAGAGCTGCCCTCTGAGGGCTGCGCAAAGCGAGGGTCATTCCTGCCGCCTCCAGACGCTCCCGCCCTGCAGCCCGGAACTCCTCATCGACAGTTCTAGGGGCCTTGGGGCGCAGCTCTCTTCCACTGCCCGCGGGCTGGGACTGCAGGGCGCTGCAGATGGCTGATGGATGCACGTGTTAGGAGGCGGCCGAGGACAAGGTCCCCAGGACCCCAGGCCAGGCTGACAGCTCCTCTCGCTGCTGTCTGCCAGTCTGTTGCCCTGAGTTCGATCCCCAATATCCCCCCACCAAAAAAAAAAAAAAGAAATGGTTGCCAAACCCAACATTATGAACATGCTCCACTATTCTGTTTTCTGTGAGTTTTATAGTTTAAGTACTTCAAGACCTCAAGGCCTCCCACCCCTTCAAGGCGCCATCCATGTGGCCCAACACACACACATATCTCTGGCGGGAAGAGAAAACTGGGGTGATAGCTGGATTGCCGCACTTGGGGGCCCCAGCCTGACCTGTGGCAGCCGGGGAGCTAATTCAGGTGAGGAGCTGATGCAGGAGGGGGGTGGGCGCAACACTCTCCTGGTCCTCACAGGACAGGCAGGCAAGATGGCCCGCGGCAGACCCCAGAGAACTCTGGGCTCCTTTGCAAACACAACAACAAACAACAGGCTGGAAGGACCTGGTCCCACCTTCCAGGGTGCAGCCACATGGGTCATGCTCGTTCATGAAGCCCCACCAGTTTTGAAGGCAGGGCAGCTGAGAGGCTCCCCACAGTGTGCCTGCCTCATGCCTGGTGCCCTCGAAGTGCTCCCACCCACCCTGTGCCCCACTACCCTAGCTGCTGGGGGCAGCCAGACCAAAGGGTGAGAATCCTCACACGGATGGCGCGTCACCTCCTCTCCGCAGGAGACTGGGTGCATTCCACCTTGTCCCACAGTCTCCTTGGAAGTTTCTAGAGCATCTCCCTTCTTTTAGAGATGAGGAGACTTTCTGAAGGGCGAGGATGGCATGAGAGCGGACAAGGCCATGGAACCCACGGTTGCTTTTCTCAGTTGCTAGAAATATTTGTGGTAGCTAAGCAGATAGGTCAAGCCATCCCTACAAGAATCAGAGAAATATCTGGAGTACTACGGCTGTGAAAATGCATGGAGAGGCACACTGTGCCCTGATAACCTAAGATGACTTGGGACCCCTTCCACGCTGGCTGGAAACAGCGAAGAAAGCGACCTTCTCGACACACAAGGTTGCTAAAGGTGATGAAGCTCAGCTTATCTATATTTGCTTTGGCTTCTGTGCTTTAGTGTCATATCCATGAAATTGCTGGGAGATAGTTCAGTGGCCTACGGGCCTGCCTGGCAAGTGCAAGGCCGAGTTCGATCCCCAGTATCCCCCCACCAAAAAAGGAAATTGTTGCCAAACCCAGCATTGTGAACATGCTCCACTGTTTTCCATGAGTTTCATAATTTTAGTACTTCAAGACCCCAAGACCTCCCCTTGGGGCCCACCCCTTCAAGGCTCCAGTCTCCCAAGAGGACTGCCCTGAGAACACAGACCTTTTGGGGGACACTGAAGGCCTCTTCTGTCCTGCCACATTCTGCCATCACTGTAAATCACCTAATGCCTCTGGCTGGACCAGGAGCTTTGGGCTGGTAGAACCACTCCTTCCCTGAGTCCCTCCCAGAGCCTGGGGTCTCTCGGTAGGCCTGGCACGCCTCTGAGCACCTCAACTCCTCTAACCTGTGATTCTCCAAGCAGGTTCCCTGACCCACAGGAAGGGAAGATGTGTTCCCAGAGGACCCAGTAGTGGACCCTGGGTATGTGTTTTCTCCATTTCTTTTAGGTAAGTGACAAAAGGACACAGAAGCGCTCTCTCTCTCTCTCTCTCTCTCTCTCTCTCTCTCTCTC